TCCAAATAAATAGGATGACTTAGCATATTTTTGGGATAATAATAAAGACTTTTAAAGTGTAAATATTCATATAATTATCTCTAATATCGTTATCAAAATTTAAGATAATAAAAGATATATTTTGTAAAAAGGTGAGATAAAATAAAATTAAAGAAAAAAACCTAAAAAATCCAACCTAGTGTACACTAAAACGCTAAAAGCCTTGTATTAATTTTTTTTTTTCATAAAACCCTTATATTATGTTTTATTGTTTAAAACCATATAGCAAATTTTCTGAATAAATTGATTGGATAAAAAAGTGACATGACATTTTTTTTGTAAAGAATACCTTGATATGAGCTTCTCCAACCATAAACACAAAATTGGTGATGATTTAACACAAAAATAGTGATTTTTTCATTCCAACCAACATTTAAAATTATGTAGATTAAGTGTGAAGCCAAATCCAAAATATGGACATCAACTAGAACTTTGAAAATTTTAATAAGTGATGGATGCAGGGTTTCATAGTAGGGGTGTCACGGGAAATTTTAGTAGCATTATGATAGTAGAAAAAAATATAAATTTTTTTTGCACTATGTCCGAAAAAGTTAGAAGTTGTCGGTGCCACTACGGGCACTATATTAGAGGTGCCCCTGATTTTAATATGCAAAACAATCCATTTAAAGTTACATTTTTTAGGTTTATTGGCTCAAATCAACAATATATTAATAATCAAAGTTTCATTTATAATTTTCAGATAACAATAGCATGTCAAGAATACTGAAATTATCATTTTTCTAACCAAAATTTAACATGCAAAGCAATCCATTCCACATTAATGTTAATGATAATTAAACCTTATCATGATTAGTATTCCATTTAGTTTATAACAAATTTCACTTACTTCTTACATGCTTTTAATCAAACCTTTGGTTCATGAAATCTTATATTTTTCACTTACTCTATCTTAGTTTAAGGTTCCAATACTAGTATCCAAGTATCACATCTTGTTTTTAAGAATCTTTATGTTATTTTCTATTTTGTCCCCAAATTTCTCTTAGTAAAAACATAGTTTGCGTTTTTATCATATTTTTATATGTTCGCTTGCATTCTTATTCCATTATCATCCACTTTTTTTCTAATCGTATAGATCATTATAAAGACTTATACGTTTGTGAATTATATTTTGTCCCCTTTCAAAACACTATGACATTGTACATTGAAGATTCATTCGCCCTTGTTCTTCATCCACAAATTCTTGCATCTTTCTCATCCTAACATATATAATAACTTATCACATTACTCATTTCTACCCAAGTATGTGACACATGTTATAAATAGTACAATACATAAACATTCTAGTCATTATTATTTATTTTTACTTTTAATATCTTAAAATCTTGAAATTGAAATTTTCAGAAAGTTACAAATACATTCAAACTTTTTGTTACTTCATAATATCTATAATCCTTCATCGTGCTCCGATCTCAAGTGAGTTGTGTCATCAATATTTTCAGTTGATGGCAAAATACTGACATAATCATAATCAATTTTACGAAATGCATAAAGCTAAATAATACAGTTTTAGCAATAATTTTTTTATGTGGCACTAACATTTGGTTTTGAGTTATTTGGACTTGTATGTGACTTGTGCTTTCATTTTAGTTTTTTCCGTACTTAAAAACTTAAATCATAAATACGTGTTAGTAATGCTAAATTGACGAGAGATGAGTCATAATATTCGTGCACTTGAACTGTTAATATGGATTTCAATAATTTGATATTGAGTTTGAGCAAGATAAACACGTAAAAGAAATTGGTGAGTCGTATTGTCTATGCATTACACTCGAATATATTTTGATTTATGTGTAATAGTTTTCTTTTTATTCGTCTTCGACATTGTTTGTAAATCAATCGTACCTTATTTCATTATTGATATACATGATTATTTATCTGGAAAGACTCAACTAGAATTTTCTATATGTCTATTTAGTCTCTTTTCATATTAAAAAACCTTTATGAAGTTGAATTTGAAAGGACATTCGACTTATATGCGACAAAAAATGTCCATGTTAAATTTAATCTTTTCTTTTTCAATTAAATTTCAAACCATATATATATATATATATATATATATATATATATATATATATATATACACACACACACACACGATATAGATCCGGTAAAAAAAAAAATTTGTAGGAAGGTAAGAATGTTTTTTTCTACATATTTTTTTACGAACAAAAAAAATGAATCACTAGATGATTCATTTGTAAGATGATTCACTAGAAAAAATTCTCAAAAAAAACATCTATATGATTTTTTTAAGTAAATTAAGAAAAAATCCACTTTTATGACAATTTTAGTGAATAACAACAAAATCATTATATAAATGAATCATCGAGATGTTTTTTTTGAAAATTTTTTCTTGTGAATCATCCTACAAATAAATCATCTAATGATTCATTTTGTTTGTTCGCGAAAAAAATATGTAGAAAAAAAACTTCTTACCGTCCTACCAACAATTTCCTTCTTATTTGATCTTGACTCTCTCTCTCTCTCTCTCTCTCTATATATATATATATATATATATATATATATATATATATATATATATATATATATATATATATATATATAATCATATTTTCTTGATATTTTTATATATTTTTTTAACTAAACCACAAATAAAATTAACCATATTTTTAGTATTATATTATTTAATGTATCATATTTTTAGGTGTCGTATTTTTTTTAAAATAAATAAATCAAATGAAATAGTTAAAAATAAGTAACCATCGAGAAAGAAATACATTCATTACAAATCTAATACGAATTTAAAATATTACATTAATCAAAATACTACACAACATGAATTTTGAGTGTCATGTAAAAAAATGTTCTCAAATGAAATATTTTTAGGTTTTTGTAAATTTTAATTAATGTAATTTTAAGTATTACACTATTTTAACTATTCCATCATTTATTTTTAAATTTACAAGCATATTTAAAAATATAATGATGATGATTTAAAAATCCATTAGATTTTATAGGGTTTAAATTTTAATGAAGTGTGAAGGTTAAAGAGTAAAGTTAAATAAAAACTAAAAAATTGTTTAATGAAGTGCGAATATTCAAGAGTAAAGTTAAATAAAAAGTAAAAATATTGATGTGGTAGTGATGTTGTCATCATAGTCCATTCAACTCTTTAGAGTTTAATTAACCAACTTACCCTTATTCCAAACTTTATTAAAAAAGTACTATTATGATATTATACGTACTCTCTTCTTTATTTGTCGGTCCAATAGTTCAATCTCCAAACCAAGGGTTTGATCTCTCATACCTATATTTTATCTTTATAAGGAATAAATATTTCCATAAGATGACGGCATTTTACCAGATAACCTGTTTTTTCGAGAACTCTTGACTATTGTTATTATTGAATCTCATAACACAATAACACAAGAACTGATCTAGAGACACATAAAGATTATTGCATGAAAGATATAGGAAATCTAAGTCAGGCTTATTGAAATTATGAGGTAACAGATAATGATGTTTTATCTCGTCTATGACTGATTCCTTTCACGAACACCACCACCGTATTCCCGTCCAAGACCTCCTCGTATGCTAACTTCTCCCACAAATTCACTGCTACTTCATTGTATCGATAATTGTAATCACGCTCCAATTCGGGATAATGATGTTGGATGAGATGTCTATCGGAGGAAGCAGAGACTGGACGAGTCACTAGATGTCGTTGTATTTATCCACTAATATCATTGCTAGTGCCACACCATTTTGCTAATTCATATAATTATTTCGGTAATCATATTCGAGTAATAACAAACTCAAATATGAAATTAAGGGAAAACGGTCATTTTTGCAAACTTAACATACCAAAACAAATAGGTTATCTCCATGGTCCAAATTAAGAATGAAAGTAGGCCAAAAGCATCAAATCCACAGTTTCAAAAGTCACTAGATTGGAACCAAAGGAATTAACAAACTATTGACCAGATTTACATTTACAATTTCAATATAAAGTTGTTTCCACTTGTTATGTACTCTTGATTGTTCAACTTCTAAATTTCCATTTAAATAGATTTGATTTCATAATATGATCTTACACTATGATGCTAATTTAACCTTTCAATAAGGCCATCAACAGAAGCTCTCTTACGAAACTCTCTTTAGAAGCAATAAAATTCCATTCTATTCCTACTTGCTTATCGGTGAAGGGTGTCTAGTATTATAAAGTCATTTTCATTATGTATCCTAATCATTCTTATTACATGATTACATCATAGTAATTCTACATCAACAAAAATCATTAAAATAACTCTTTTAAAATATTGTAATTTGACAAAAAAAAATAATTACATTGTATCTTTCAATACATAATAACTAAGTATTTATTTTGGCGTGGTGTATTATGACATTCCTTTTTCTACCAAACACATTCTCTCTCCGTCCACAGCCGAAACAAAACACACACTCACCATCCGGTGCGTGTATATGGAGGAAAGGAGTGAAAGAGGGTCACAAATCCGCGTGGTCAATAAGCCATATGCATTTTCTTCTACATCACCTTCCTACGAACCCTAATTCCCTCAATTTCCCTCGCTGTTAGAAACATTATTACACGTATTTGATTTTTCCTCAGATCTGAAAAACAAAATTCAACACCAAACTCCATTACAAAGATCTTATATTTTTATTTTCTTGTTCGCATTGCATAATTCTGTACCATTTCTTGAGTTTCACGTAGTTTTCATTCGTAATTCAGCTAATCTAATCGCCAATTTTGTTGTTGCCGTATTAATTGATCATCGCACGAATCCTCCTCTGTGGCTTTTTAGCTAATTTAATTCGGTAATCCCGTGTTAGATCCGGACATGAGCTACGAATCTCTGTTGTTCCATTAGAATCGATTTTGTGATAGTTCGTATAAGTCTATATCAGTATTAATATTTATGGCAATGCCATCGGGGCACATGGTAATTTCGGATAAAATGCAGTTTCCTAATGGCGGTGGGGTTGGGACCGCCGGTGGAGAGATGACCGGCGGTACGGTTGGGTGGTATCCGGATGAAAGAGACGAGTTCATATCGTGGTTGAGAGGGGAATTTGCAGCTGCAAATGCCATAATTGATTCGTTATGTCATCATTTGAAGAGCGTTAGTGAACCAGGTGAGTATGATGGGGTTATAGGATCTATACAACAGAGAAGGTGTAATTGGAACCCTGTGCTTCATATGCAGCAATACTTTTCTGTGGCGGAGGTCATTTATTCCTTGCAACAGGCCACCTGGCGACGACAACAACAACAACAACAACAGCAACAGCATCGTGGTGGTTTTTATGATCCAGTGAAGATTAATAGATCTAATGGTGTTGGATTCAGACAGGGCCATAGGATAGAAATTCCTGTGAAAGAAGGCCATACTTCTACTGCAGATTTCAAAAGTCCTCGTGGTAATGCAAATGGCTCTGCCAATTTGGTGACTAATGAAGTTTCTGTATCTCATGAAAAGGATGTCACACTTACACAGTATAACGATGGTAAGGCATGAGTAAAGTTTATTTCTTATACTAACAGTTTACCAAACATATCATGGATATAACAAGTTTTGATGTTTGTATTATTGATATGATGGTCAGATGGTGATTTTCCCTTATTTATCAGAAGCACACACAAAAGTTCTCAAATTTCTCTTTCTTTTATCTCCATTCTTACAACAATCATGCTAATCAGTTCTTTTATCTCACACGCATTATACACTAGTGTTTACTTGAAGCCTTTTCAAATTCCTTATCATATTAAGTTAATGGTTTCTTACATAGTGAAAGATCTTCTTTAGCATATCGATTTTATAGATTCTTGAATTGCTTCTCACACTATAAAACACTCTTGAATCTTACTTTTATTGTTGACTCATGATTCTTGACAGTTTATACAAAAAAAAAAAAAAATCTTAATCACCCCTTCTATACCTAAAAAGGCAAGAAAATGCAAAGTTCCCTTTCCTGGAAGATTCAAATGCAAATTTCTTATTTGATCATCTGCATATTGATGAGATTGATATTGATTGTATCTCAATCTTGTCTTATCAAAGGGTAAAATTTAGCATTTGGTTATTAGTCATAACCTTCTATTGGAATCAAGTTAAGTCAACTGTAAATTTTTTCTTGGACGAATCATTTATAACAGTGAAACTCTAATCTAATACAGCATACATTTCAATGGTTGAAACTCATTGAATATTTAATTTCAAGTAAAAAATCCACTGTATTGTAACTATATAATCACTAGTTTTCATTTGATATTGAACAGGTTCAAACACAAAACCTGATATGGACAAATATGAAAACAATCTAAACTTGCAAACAATTTTGTCAAACAATTCAGAATGTGAGTCAAAGGAGGTGGATGATAAGAGCAATCAAAATTCAAAAGGTACTTTCTAGTTTCTACACATAAAGGGCAATACAAAGAGTAAATTCTCTCATTTGTCTTTTTTTGTTTTTTTGTTTTTTTTTTCAGAAGGATATTCTAATGCACATCTGGAGCATGAATCATCATCTTCTACACGAATCTCAAATGAAAAGCCAAATATTTTACCCACAGCTAAAACATTTGTTGGCAATGAAACTCTAGATGGAAAAACAGTAACATTTTTGCACCCTATTATCTACTTAATCCATGAATTAATCCAATTTTATTTAAGAAAATTCTTTTTAGGTTAATGTTGTTGATGGAATGAGAATGTATGACAAGTTATTCGATGACACTGAAATTGAAAACATGCTTAATTTGGTAAATAATTTGAGAACTGCAGGAAGACAAGGACAATTTCAAGGCAGGTCACCCACTTTTTTTTTTTTTTTAATATATGAATAATTACATTTACATTATTACATTAACAGCAGTAAATAAATTTTTTTTTTTTTTAATTTGTAACAGGAGGACATACATATGTTGTCTCAAAAAGACCCATGAAAGGCCATGGAAGAGAGATGATTCAGTTAGGCCTCCCCATTGCTGATGACCTCATCAATGGATCCTCCAAAGGCATGTACAAATTAAAAAATATAAATTATTAGTTATTAGTTATTACATCTGTTTAAAATAAATAAAGTATTTTTTCAGATCGAAAAATAGAACCAATACCGAATTTATTTCAAGACGTTATCGATCGCCTAATCACCATGCAAATTCTCACAGTGAAGCCAGACTCATGCGTTATTGATATTTACAACGAGGTTAGTAAAATGTAAAAAGTAAAAAGTAAAAAGTAAAAAAGTAAAAAAAAAAAAAAGTAAGAATTGTATTGTTTATTGATATTAATTATTAATTATGGTGTAGGGTGATCATTCACAACCTCATATATGGCCACATTGGGTTGGAAGGCCTGTGTGTGTTTTGTTGTTGACGGAATGTGAGTTGACTTTTGGTAAAGTGATTAGCGTTGACCACCCTGGAGATTACAGAGGCTGTTTGAATCTTTCTCTTTCGCCTGGGTACCTTTTTATTCTCTTATTGTTAATGTTAATTATAATTAGTTTAGTATTATTATTATTTATTAAAAAGAAAAAAAAAAAATTTGAATTTTATCTGTAGATCGATGCTAGTTATGGAAGGAAGATCCTCGGACATTGCTAAGCATGCGATTCCTTCCATCTGGAAACAACGCGTGCTTGTTACGTTGACCAAGTCAAAGAGAGTCACGCATGGACCACGTGTGGGTGTGGGTGTGGGTCCGAAGCACTATGTCGCTACCCCAACAGCAGCACCACCACCTGGAAATGTTTTTGCTCCGGCGATGGCTTTTCCGGCGGCGGCTTCTGGAGGGTGGACGGGGGCTCCTGTGACTCTGAGGCAGCATGCGCCACCTGGCACTGGAGTTTTTCTTCCTCCGGGATCTGGGAACTCTACAGAGGAACAGCAGTTTGAAGAAAAAGAAGGGAAAAAGCATGAAGATGAGAATGGTGGTGACGACCACCAGAAGAAACAGAACGGCGGCGGCGATTGAAAGGCGGTGGGGAAAGTTTTGAGAAGGGAGCACAAAGACTGCAGTGAGGTTTGATGCAGATTGCAAAAGGCGGCGGAACAAGAGAGTTGAAACGTGACTTTATTATGAAAATTAAAGAAGGAAAAAGAAAAGGGGGGAACTTGAAAAAAGTTGGGTTCTATTATATATTCTATTATGGAAATCTCGTTTTTGTTGTCTTAGTTATTAATTAGTATATCAACTCTTCCTCCCTTTTGTTCTTTATAATCAATTTTAACATATTCTTAATCTACATTCTGTTAATTGTTATAGAAACTTGTCTCGGGTCGGTCTGATCTTTGGC